GTCCTCCCTTCTTCCCTGTCCCTTCTTTTGCTTTAGTTTATTTTAGATGGGGTCCCTCACTTTTGTCCAGGCCAGCCTTGGACTGTGATCCTCCTATCTTTGCCTTCTAAATAGCTGACAGTACAAGCATGCAATACCTACCGCCTCTGGCCCCACACTCCAACCAACTCAGTGATGCTTTGGGTCAGGTGACTAGAGCCTGCTGGGTTTTTTTGTTTTTATTATCTCTGGGAGTCTGATACTAGGGGCCACAGCTGGAATCGTTCTTGTAAGAGAAAATGAGATCAGGTCAACACATATTTTCTCAGTAAGATGCAAGATTAGGAAGGTTTCCATGGTGACAGATGTTTTTGATGTGTGTGTGTGTGGGGTGGGGGTGGTGCCCTGTAACACGGGCGGGTTGAACGTGGTGGATTGCTGTGGCAGCATCATCTTCCAGTACTATGGGGTGGATGCAGAAACCTGGCAGAAACAGAGAGACTTTACCACTGTCTTGGCAGTATGATTTCAGGCTCTAAGTCCTGGGAAGTGGGTGTTAACTGGCAGTGGGGAGGAAAGAGATTGGAATACAGGAGCCTGCAGAGCCAGAGGGTGAACCTGCCCTGCCTCATGACCTTGCTTGACCAAGTAGCACGCCCCAGGACCTTCAGGAGTTACCCCTAGTTGTCAGATTCCCCCGAGAGGCCAAATGAGTATTACTTTAGTGCTGAGAAGTTTGCAGAGTCCCTTCAGGGTGCTCAATGTAATCTGAACCTCACAGCAGCCCCAAGGGGGTAATTATAGCACCCCACTTTCAGATAAGGAGCCCGGTTAAGCGATGGATAGAGGTCACATAGTTACAGTGCAGTGCAGTGGAGCGCAAACCCAGGTCAGTGGTCACTAGAAGTGCTTTTCCTTGCAGCCTATGGAGAGAGAACTGGCATTGCCTGGTGAGACAGGTGGAGCTATGCTCATAAGCCAGCTCTGGACCTACTGGTTTACCTTGCTCCATTCCAGAAATTACTGCATATGGTATTCTAGCCTCCCCCGCTCCCCATACTAGTTCTTGAAAGGATCTCTGATCAGCTAAACCTTGTTTTTGAGCTCAGTAGTCATGGCAGAGGCCCTAGACCTGGAGGCTTGCCCTGCGTTTGAGCCCTGCCAGCAATCCACCCCTCCCCGGGAGGTGACTCAGCTGCCCCTGCTGGGGACTGGCAGAAATGGCAGCACAGTTGGCCTAAATCCCTGGCCCTAATCTGTCTCTGCGCCTATCTTCTGCTGATCGTGTTCTGCTTGTTCAGTACGTGGAATGATATAGTCAAGATAGCAAGTTGTGACCAGCAGCCAGGCAGAATGGGCAGGTCCTTCGTCTCCCCTTCCTGCAGGCATGGATGCGTGCCCGGGCCACTTGTGTCCCACCCTCTCAACTCAGGGCTTTGTGACAAAAGGAGGGGCTCCTGGTTGCCTGGACATATGTCTTTATCTCTCTGCTCTGCCCGCTGCTATCACCCACTTTGCTGTGGTTTATTCTCCCCACGAGTGGCTGGCACAGGGGGTGGCATAGATTTCAGGTCATGGACCATAGCCCCTGGGTATTAGTGGCCCACCCTGAGCTCTTTACAACTTTGAATTGCCTGCTGAAATTCACAAATGGGGCCGTGCCCCGAGGTGTGGACTTCCAGCCCCTCTGGGAGAGCTGGCAGCCCTGTCCCCAGCTGCCATCTCATCAGTAGGAGGGGCCTGCCGCTCACCATGGGTCTGTTCGCCCTCTGACTGCACAGCCTGGCTTTGGTAGATGGCTACAGTTGTGACTTCTGGTGGAGGTGAACACTTCAGCAAAGATAAAACTTAAAAACAGGGAAAAAGAGAGAAACAACAGCAAGCCTGTATCGGCCTCAGGGGCTGTTGGGTAATGGGGACCATCCTCTCCTCATAGTGCCGAGCACACTAACAGCGGCTCCTGCATTGCCTTCCCACTTAACGGATCACCTCTGAGCTGCCTGTTGTCACCTTCGCAGTGTGGTCTCACTGCCTGTGATGATTGCCTCCTCCCTCCTCTGACCCCATAGCACGTGGACCTGCAGTGGCTCCCTCAGGGCTGGGAGGAGGCCTCTGGCCCCTCCCTCCTGCTTCACTGGTTCGCTGCTCACAGCTATGGGGCTTGGGGACTTTTCAAATGCAAAGTGAGATGCTTAGGGTAGGCTTTGCTTGTGGCGGCTGTAATGCAGTCTGCAGTAACAGCACAGATTTCCCCCACTTGCCTCTGCCCTCCATCCCCTACCGACACAGAGAGGGACAGAGAGGGACGTCTCAGGGCTTGGCAGGTAGTAGCTGTTTGGTAAGTGCTTAGTGGCTGGGTAAAGAGTAAGGAAGGCAGGGGTGAGTGAAGGACACCTTCTTCACATGTTCCCTTGTTTGTTGCTCACTCACCAGCTGATCCACTCCCTCCCCCGCCCCTTCCTTCATCATTTCTCAGCAGGCTCTTTGAGGAGCCATTTGGAGCTGGTCTGTGCTGGGTGCTGGGAAGACAGAGTTGAATGAAGCATTCTCTGGGCACAGGGGGCTTTTCTCAACACCTCTAGCATCAACAAGAAGCACCCGTGTGCCATGTTGGTTGTGGGAGGGGTCTGCATCGGACCATGATGTCAAGGTCCCGAGGAAGTGGGACTTGTCAGGCCCTTCAAAAACAAAAGCCTATGGATTCTGGGTCCCAAGCACTGTACTCTGTGGTATCCCAAGTGGCCTGGTGGCCACTCCAAGAGGCTTCCAGGTGACAGCTGCTGGCAGCAGGGCTCTGGGCCCCTTCTTAGATGTCTTTTCTGTGGGCCATGGCCATAGAGTTGCCTGGTCTTCCCCAGCTACTTTTTCAGAGCTGTGTGCACTGATTCCCCCATCTCTGGGTGGCTCTGGGAACAGGTGATTAATCCGTGCACCTGTTGGCCTGGGTCTGTAATCTCTGGATCTTGGGTTTTATAAACACCTTCAATGGGCCAGGCTGGTAGGGTAAAGGAATACACAGGAGGAGGTTGCCTGGGCCCTCAGGCTGCAACCTTGGACTCTTCTTGTTTCTTTCTGGCTTCATTTTATCTCAGAACTGGGCTTCCTTAAGCCCTGTGCTTGCTTTACTCAGTACATTGATGATGTAACTTAACGGGAGAGTCTGCAGTGACTGATCATAGAAGACAGCAAGCAGTCTTGTGACCACAGGGGTTATGTACCCATAGTCCAGATAAGGAAAATTGAGCCCCTAGAAAGAAAATGGCCTCCAGCTATTTGGCAAAGTTGGGCACACTTTGCTGTAGAAGAATGGGGCAGCATGTCACACAGGCTGGCATTACCTTTGGGAGCACAGGAGAGGCCAGGGGCAGAGCTGGGACCACTGGATGGACCTGGCGTATCAGCAGGCCTGGCTTCACCTGAATCTCCCCCCTAGTGCTGTCCACAGCACCAGCGTTTGGCCTGTTGATCCTGATAGCATGCTGGCCGACTTGGCAGCGGTGCTGCCTTACTTGGCAATATACCTCCACACTCCTCCTAGAGCGTGGGCCATGGTGGGAGCAACCCCAGACTCAGGTACCCATCCACTGCCTACAGGGTGTCTACAGGGCTAGCAGCCGTGGCTGCTGGGAAAGTGCATTTGGGTCTGGAGTAAAGCCTGACTCCGTAGAAGTTTGTACCCTACCTTTGCCTTGGTGCCTGATGGGTCCCTATCCCTGGCCGCGTCCATTTGTTCCGCCAGGTGGGGTTCCACCCACCCGAGCTTCTGCAGAGTGTTGGGAAGAAGGAAACAAGCACCAGGTTCGTACAAATGGAGACGTGTTCAGAGTCCTGGAGATGCCAGCATTCTGGATCTGGAGAAGGACGTGACACTCTGGCCACAGGTGATGCAGGCACACCCATTGAGAAGCCGGCCCTTCCCAGATCCTGCTGCTTCTAAGTCATGTGACCTCGGCTGAGTTCTCCACCTCTCTGAGCCACATGCCCATGCCCACGCCCACTATGTGAGGATCTTCAGACATTCATATAGAACTCACCATGTTCAAGGTCCCTCTGTGTTTCATGAAGGGTAGATAATATAGCTAGTGAGTGGCAGAGTCAGGATTCAAACCCAGGCAGCCTGTCCCAGAGTCTGTTCTAATCTCTAGGAGCCAGCAGTTCTCAAAAGGACTTTGAAGGTCTCTAAGGCCCTTTCCAGCTGTCCATGGGTTCAGAGCAATTGTCATCACAATTCTAACGTACTGGTCATTCTACTCTCCTCCTATGAGTATGAAGTGTCTGGGGGTGACACAGCCTATTAGCATGTCATTGTTCTGGTGGGTAAAGGAGTGTGTGCTTATATGCATTCTTGTATTTTAGAAATTTCTCATTTTTGGCTAGGTATGGTGGCTCATGCCTATAATCCTAGCTTCTTGGCAGATGGAGCTAGTAGGAGTGCAGTTCTAGACCAACGGAGGCAAAAACACAAGACCCTGTCTGAAAAAGAAAGCAGAAAAGGCTGGGAACATAACTCAAGTGGTGAAGCATCGGGCTTAACAAATGCAAGGCTCTGTGATGTCCAGAGTCAGGCCTCGCATTGAGAAAGTACTCTGCCTGCATCACCCGTCAGTGAATGTGAGGGAGGGAGGTGCTGTGGTGAGGGCCAGTTTACAGAGGAAGAGCCCAGTGCTCAAGACTACTTCCGCCGGCACAGCCAGGTCTGTTGGTGGGATGGAACCCAGGGCCTTCCTTGTGCATGCTGGCAGGCATGTACCACTGAGCCGCCAGGCCCAGCTTAGGACCTCTGTTTGGTCAGCTCTCCATCAGATAAAGTGACCATGTTCTTTGTTGTTTTAACAAAAACGGCATACCTTTCATAGCTTCTCGGGACCTCAGGCATAAGCCAGGACTTTCCTGGCAAAGTGACTGCCTCTTTCTGACCATCCAGGGAGACAGATGGGGAAACTGAGGCATGGAGAAGGTTGTTTCTGTCACCCCTGCTCTCCATTCCCGGTCACTTGCTTGTGTGTCATCCACCTGACTCCTTCACTGAGCACTGGCGCGGGGGCTGTAGAGGATCCTTTGAGTGCCAGAGTTTTCTGAAAGCCATCAACCCTTGTAGTGAGTACTGGCATTCAAGCTGGAAACTGTATATCTAGAATAAATAAAATACCTAAAAATAGAGGCTCCTGTCAGCAAAAAAGAAGAGGTGCTGGATGCATGTGCTGCTTCAACCCGGGCTTCCCTCCTGGGCCTGCCTGTGACCATCTGTCACCTGGATGATGGATGTCCCCAGGGGCAGAGAGACAGGGAGTAGACAGCTGACACCAGCTCTCTTCTATTTGGGTCGATCAATTTCTTCTACTCCTGACTGCCTCAGAGGCCAGTTTGGTGACATCTTTCTTCTGCTCCGATAAGGAGCATGTGACAGTCCGTTTGAGGGACACATGGAGAGCTGCACTTGCAGGGGACACTTAGGGAAACCTGGGGTTATTGGTGCACTAAATATAACAGACACAGTTGGGCCTGTGATGTTGAAGCTGTACAGCCCATGTGTGTGTGTGTTTGGGGTGGGGGGGGCTTAGTGTGTTTCTGGTTCAGACAGAAATAGACACCTACCAGGGCAGGATGGCATCTGCATTGGTGGATTTAGGCTCTCTCTTACTGCCTGGCTCTATGTTCCTTTTTCTTCTCTGTACCTTGGGGAGCACTGTTTAGCACGGCAAGGAATTGTGGGTTTGCCTCTGGCCCCCGGGTTTCTCTCATACACCGTCCCTGGGGAAAGGGATGGGCAGATCTGCAGCAGGGAATGTGCTCACCAGCTGCTCACTTCTTACCCCAACCAGGGAGCCAATTCCTGTCTGGCAAATAACATGAAGGACTCAGGGTACCTCTCAGATGCCCCTTCCTCACTGGGGTGTTGGTGTGTGTTACAGGAAGGATGGAGACGCTGAAGGATAAGACCCTGCAGGAGCTGGAGGAAATGCAGAATGACCAGGAGGTGATCGAGCGGCTTGCCCTGGAGTCCCCTGAGGTAAGAGACTGTCTCAGGGCTACGAAGCAGCAGATTGATCTCATGGATGCTGGCCAAATTCATTGCCCGTTTCTGTGGATTCCACCCTGCTTGGGACCCAGCCAGAGGAACCCCTGAGGCTTTCAGGCTAGGAGTTGGTGTCTCCAGGAAGCCAGGCAGTGGCAAGCAATGTACATGGTTCCAAGGAGCCCAGATGCCCCAGGAGTGCGCACACTGTTGCAGCCCGACTCTGGAGGCAGCTCCTCAAAACACCCACCTTTCCCCAGAGGGCTTTGTGACCCACCCTGTACCTTCAGATGACTGTCAGCGTTTTGGAGCTACCGTTGGCTGGGATGTAGCTTACCTCTTTTCGGTCCTGGCTTCCATCAAAACTGACACCTGCTACTCTCAACTACTCACGGTGCCCTTGCTTAGAGGGACAATCTGCTGTCTGTGCAGAGCCTTACACTTAACACGCGTGTCCTATCCTCCTGTGACCGGAGTTGCCAGGTGACAGTCATCCCTTTGAATGTCTACAGCCTGCCCAATGGTGCTAGAAGCTCCTGTCGCCTGCCTCTGATGAGACACAAACAAAAATGCCAAGCTTACCAGATGATTATGTCACCCTGGTGAAACTTTCCTTCTGAACAGATGGGGTGTGTCGTCTGTGACTTGTGTTAGAGACTGAAAGTGCAGCTCCCCCTGCTGGCTGCTCCATAGACCTGCAGGCTTGCAGCTGCCCCCTGAGGCCTCCCTGCTGGGGGTGTGTGTTGGGGGGCGGGGAGGGGGGGGAGATAGAGAGTGGGGGGCAAGATGGTATGAGGAGGGGCTCCACGAGGCTGCAGCCTGTTGCCCTGAGATGGCTGTGAGCTTGTTTAGACAGAATGGGGAGCAAAGTTTACACTGGGTTCTAAGGCGGATTCCCTCATCAATTAGGCGGCGAGCCTTACCTCTCCCAGGTCTTCATACCTTCATCCTCAATTCATTTGTCACTTATGAGCTGAGTGTCCCTTACCCAACATGCTTGGGACCAGAAATATTTCATATTGTAGATTTTTTTTAAATGTGATATAGTTATCAAGATTTACTGATTAAACTTCCTTAATCTGAAAATCTCAAACCTGAGGTGCTCCGAAATCCAAAAGGTCTCAAACATCATGTAGGCACTTAAAAAGCATTCAGACTTTGGATTTGGGATTAGGAATGTGTTGCCATGGCAGGGACTGAGGATCTCAGGGCTGTGTCGGGGGCAGTGTGCGGGAGAGTTCGCAGGCTGCCTCTGGAGCGCACGGAGCCTGGCAGGGCAGGCCTTGCCCTCCTTGCCATTAGTCACTGCCTGCCAAGCAGTTGGTAGAATCCATGGTGAGGCCGACACGACTGCACAGGCAAAAGCCAACTTGAATTTTGTCGCATGCAGCCATGACCAACAAATGGATTTGAATTCTCTGAGGAAAAATACGCCCAGTGTAGATCGGACAGAAATGAAGTAGGACAAGCCATTAGACTTCAAAAAAAAAAAAAAAAGCCCATTGACTAGCTCTTCTGTGGACTGTAAAACAATAGTTGAGTCGTTGTAGGATTGTTATAAGATTCAAGCATACTTCGTTTGGGATGTGGAGACTGAGGAGAGGAGTAGGTAAGAGACGTTTCTCTCTGTAGGAGAGTAAATGGAGGGGCCGGGGCAGGGTGGTGAGCTCCTATGAGTGGGTGGAAAACTCCTATCGACCTCGTGCAAATAGATGGAAGAGGGTTTCATAGTGAACCCCTAAAAGAGGAAGACTAGAGATCGGGGGAGAGGGAGCAGAAATGGGGACAAGAGAATTATGGAGCATGGGTTTACTGGGTAAGACCCAGGGAAAAGGCAGAAGGTCTGTGGGGTCCTACAAGGGGAGGCTGAGTGGGAAGGTTTCAGCCCTCTCTCTGAGCTGGCCACGTGAATAAAGATAAGCTTCCATGACAAGTGCCTAGATCGAAGCTCCCCTGTCTGTGTGCTGCTCTGTCCGAAGGCAGGAGGAGTTTGTGGCAGCAAAGTCGACAGTCCAGCTGGAAGGGCTGCGGGCTGCCTGCCTAGTGTAGCAGCTTGGGCTGTGGGCTAGGAACATCCTGAGCCCTGCAGTCCCTGGGCTCCAGCAGCCTGGTCTGGAAGGGTGTTAGCCATGGCGTTGCCCTCTCCAGCAGGCTGCATCTGCCCTGGAGCACAAGGCATGGGGCCCTGTGGCAGCCCTGGGCAGTGCGGCATGTCCAGGATGCCTGCGGGCTTCTGTTGGCAATGGAAGATGAGCTGGGCTGGCTGGGCTCACCTGTACCAATCGTGGTGATACCGCCTGGGACAGGGCTGTGCCTCCCCTATGGTTACTGGTGTCGCTGAGCTGTGTCCTGAGTCTATCTTTCTGGTACTGTGTGGCACTGTCCATGTATTGTCCCTACTCTCTCAGGGTGGTGGGTCTGAGTCCCCAGTCCTCAGGAAGATTCTGGGGCTTCTGCCTCACCTCTGGTGGCGTCTGAGGGCGCCGGGCTGCCTGGCTGGTGAAGAGTTGAGTGGAGGGCCGTGGGGGGGTCTGTCTGAGTGGGCAGCTGTGCAGGATGCCTGTGTTTGGGAGGCGGGGCCAAGCCTCTCCTGCACCAGCACCAGGGTTTGCTCAGGACCCTGGCGCTCTCCTTTCTGAAAGCCACAAAGGCTGGTGGGTCTGGGGGATGGCTGTGTGCTCTCTTAAGTCTCTTGGCTCTGAAGCTTGGGATAGCATTTGGGGCTTTCCCCCGGGCCCCTAGAAAGCCTCTGCTTTTCTTTCCTTTTCTTCCCTTCCCTTCCCTTCCCTTCCCCCCTCCCTTCCTTTCTTTCTGTCTTTCTTTTGTCAGTCGTGGGGCTTGAACTCTAGGCCTGAGCACTGTCCCTCAGCACTTCAACTCAAGGCTAGCGCTCGCTCTACCACTTGAGCTACAGCACCACTTCCGGTTTTCTGATGGTTAATTGGAGATAAGAGTTTCATGGAGTTTCCTGTCCCGGCTGGCTTTGAACCATGATCCTCAGATCTCAGCCTCCTGAGTAGCTAGGATGACAGGTGTGAGCCACCGGCGCCTGGCTGCCTCTGCTTTTCTTCCATGGTTGGGCCTCTCCTTTTGCTGGGAGACCTGGTGCCAGTCCCTCAGTGGCCTTGGGCAGATGGTGAACGTGGAACCCGTTTCTCCCCGTGTCCCCCATCGTAAGATGCGGGATCAGGATTAAGGGAGACGGCTGGGTCTGTTTCCTCCAGGTGTGCAGCAGTCCGGAAGCCCCGCCCGGCTCGCAGGGGCGACGGTGCTGGTCCTTGGATCAGTTGTCCTGTTCTCTTAGGTCCAAGACCTGCAGCTGGAGCGGGAGATGGCACTGGCCACCAACCGGAGCCTGGCCGAGCAGAACCTGGAGTTCCAGGGCCCCCTGGAGATCAGCCGCTCCAACCTCTCTGACAAATATCAGGAGCTGCGGAAGCTCGTGGAGCGGTGCCAGGAGCAGAAGGCCAAGCTGGGTAGGGAAGGGTGACCCTGGGCATGGGTGATGCAGGGGTCTGTTCACAAATAGGAGCAGGGAGGGCAGTTGGAATAGTCTGGAAGATTCTGTGGATCCCACTCCCTGGCCTGGGCATGGAGGCTAGCAGCCACCCAGTGCCCCGCTCTGTGCCAAGGGCTCAGCAGTGGGTATACAAGGTAAGGGCGGCACTTTTGTGTATGTGATTTAAGTTTTGCATGTGCCTTGGTAGTAGATTTTTGTAGACAAAAAATAAATAAATAAATAAAAGTAGCTGTCCTGGCCAGGCACTGTGGCTCGCGCCTGTAATCTTAGCTGCTCAGGAGGCTGAGATCTGAGGATCGAGGTTCGAAGCCAGCCTGGGCAGGAAAGGCTGTGAGACTCTTATCGTCAATAAGCTACTCAGAAAAAGTTGGAAGTGGTAGAGTACTAGTCTTGAGCAAAAGAAGCTCAGGGACAGGGCCCTAGGACTGACAATAAATAAGTAACTAAATACAAATGGCTGTCCTAGTTAGGCTTGGTGGCTCAAGCTGGTAATTCTAGCTACTCTGGAAGCAGAGACCCGAGGATCATAGTTCAAGACCAGCCCAGATGTAAAGTGTGAGAGAGACTCCATCTCAGGCCTCGGCTGGGTGCCTTGGCCGGGCACCTGTTATCCCAGCCACAGGGCAGCACAGCGTGGGGCCCCAGTGGCTCCCACCTGTCATCTCCAGTGACAATTGGAAGAACAAGAGGAGGACCTGAGCCCAGGTCAGGATGGGCCTACCTTGAAAATAGCCAAGGTAGAAGGGTGGGAGCTGTGGCTCAAGAAGTAGAGGACATGCCTAATCAGCTTGAAATCCTGAGCTCAGTCCCTGGTATTGAAAAAAAAAAAGCCTGAAGTGACTCTCAATTTATTTAATTTATTTTTGGTCAGTTGTGGGGCTTGAACTCTGGACCTGGGCACTAGTTCCTGAGCTCTTCTGCTCAAGGCTAGAGCTCTACCTCTTTGAGCCACAGCGCCACCTCCAGATTTCTGGTAGTTAGGGATAAGAATCTCACGGACTTTCCTGCGTGGGCTGGCTTTGAACCATGATCTCAGCCTCCTGAGTAGCTAGGGTTACAGGCGTGAGCCACCAGGGTCCAGCTTATTCTCATTTTGTTATAATTTTTTTTTTTAAAAAAGGAAACTCTGAGATTCAAGAGCCTTCCAAGGTCTCCTAACTCGAGATAGGTGGTGCTGAGATTTGATTTGCAACCTTCCTTACCAATACCACCCAAACTCCGCCCGCTCAGTTTCCATGCCGAGCACTGGTCAGGGGCGCTGTCATCTGAAGGCAAGGAGACTGTCTGTTCTTGGCACCGGGACAGGATAGGCAGCTCTCCCTGGAGGGGCAGCGCAGGACAGGGTCCCTCCCCAGGCTGGCCTAAGGGGAGCTACTTGGCCAAGGTCATTGGGCTCGGCTCAGGAAGGTGATCATTTGAGGGAGTCGGGATGAAAGAGCCCCACAGACCCACTGCAGGGCCGCCACGGTGGCCCCCAGGGCAGGCCCCGGGCCTGCAGCATTGACCCAGGCAGGGCTGCCGAAACGATAACCTCCCTACCTTCTTTCCCAGAGAAATTCTCCTCGGCACTGCAGCCGGGAACCTTGCTGGACCTTCTGCAGATCGAAGGCATGAAGATCGAGGAGGAGTCTGAGGTGAGGGGAGCAGGGCACCTCTCTTCCTTGCTAGGGCCTTGGCCCCTCCTCCAGCATGATGACCAACCTCTACCAAGCACGAGGCAGGGAGGCTTAACAGTTGGCACAGACAGGTGACACCGAGGGACCCAGCGAGGACTTCGGATGTAAAACAGGGGAGCCTCCTTATCTGCAGGATCGTGTAGATGCCCGGTACATGCCTGAAGCCTTGAGAATACTGAAGCCCGCAGAGAGGGCTGTAGACTTTAATTGTAGATGAAGCACAGCAAGAGATTAATGACAAAGAGAGTAATGCTGTCATTAAGTTATTTATGAGCCGATAGATTGTTCATTTCTAGACTTTTCCATTTGTTGTTGATGATCCAGTATCTATTTAATTTATTTAGTGCTGTTCCTAGGGCTTGAACTTAGAGCCTGGACTCTGTCCCTTAGCTTTTACCTTGAAGGCTGATGGTGTACCTCGACACAATGCCTTCACTTCTGGCATTTGGGTGGTTAATTGGAGATAAGGGTCTCACAGACTTTTCTGCCCAGGCTGGCTTGGAACGGTGTTCCTAGCTACGATGAGAGGCATGGGCCACCCGTGCCTGGCTCCATTTAGTTATTCTTGGACTGTAGTGAGCCTGGGCACATGGGAACTTGTATACCCGGCACCCAACCTTGCTGGGGGGAGCAGGAGTGGGTGACTGGCAGGTCCTGGGGAAGCTGGCAGACGAGTGGGAGGCCGGGCCCCACTAGGTGCTCCTGGATTTTCTTCCCCTCGTGCGTCCTCAGTCTCTGTGGGCCTCTGAGCCTCAGCCTCGGGCTAGTGAGTGAGCAGCCCTGCGCATCTGTTCTGCACACACACAGTGGCCACATGGGCCTGCCGGTGTCGGGGCAGGGTGACTGTGACTAACCTGGTCCTTGCCCCCAGGAACAGACCTGGTGTTCCTGTGAGGGAGGCGCCTGTGTGGGGTGTCGGCGGGGAGGGCTGGGAAGAACCCCCCCTGGGGGCTAGGGAAGGCTGTGTCCAAGCAGCACCTGTCGCTACGGGGCCTTGTGTCTTGCAGGCCATGGCGGAGAAGTTCCTGGAGGGCGAGGTGCCCTTGGAGACATTTCTGGAGGCCTTCTCCTCTATGCGGATGCTGTCCCACCTGCGCCGGGTCCGCGTAGAGAAGCTCCAGGACGTGGTGAGGAGGCCCCGGGCACCCCCGGAGCCCGCCCGCGATGCGCCACCCCCG